ATGAATTTTTTTTCGATTTTTTTGGATTTTTTCAAATTTTTTTCAAACTTTAGGGGTCAAAAAATCGGGGTTGCGGATCATGAATTTCGGCAACAATTTTTTTACATACCAAGGGACAAATAAAGATGTAAAAAGAACAATAAAATTTTTGGTCCCGTATTTAGAATTGAAATGATGAATTTTTTTTCGATTTTTTTTCGATTTTTTTGGATTTTTTCAAACTTTAGGGGTCAAAAAATCGGGGTTGCGGATCATCAAATTCGCCCACAATTTTTTCACATTCCAAGGGACATATAAAGATGCAAAAACAACAATAAAATCTTTGGTCCCGCATTTAGATTTAAATTAATGAATTTTTTTCTATTTTTTTTCAATTTTTTCAAATTTTAGGGGGTGTTTGGGGTGTAATTTGTGTAATTTTTTTTTCTAAACTGTATTTTTGGTTGTTTTTCATTAGTTTGTACCTATTTTAAGGAGTTTTATGTAATTATTAAAAAAAAATTTTTCGTTTAAGATAAACGTTGCGTACTTCAGGGAGGTATTAGAGTCGCTAAATCCTCGCGCGTAAAAGTTTCTTTCACCAAGGAAGTTTTAAAATAACTCAGCCGTCTTTTTTTCACGTTGCAACTATGTAATATACATTTCTGCAAACCACCTGCGCGCATATTGTTCGTCGAAAAGAAGAAGAATTAAGAAATTATTTTTGTTTTTCCGATAAAAATCAAATATTCGAAAAAAAACGTGACGAAAAACTATATTTTAGTATTCAAATTCTTTTTTTTTTAGTGATGTCATTTGTTTGTAAAAAAAAAAAGTTATCCCATAAAACATAAATACGTTCACATTTTTTTTTCGAAACAGTTTTTTAGAAACATAAAAATGTTAATTAACATTTGGAATATTAATTAAAAATTCCAAAATGTTCTCTTAAAAATATAAGTAACCATAATCTGTATTTAATTAATTATTGATTTTATATAATATCGAAGAAATTAATTTTTTGCTTTAAATTGAAGTTTTTTTTTTTTTTAGAAAATGTTACCATCTTTATAAATATTTATAATGTTTATATAAATTTATAAATAAATGAAATTATATTGTTGGTAAATTTTTTTAAATTTACACAATTTTTCATTTAATAGAATTCTGATTTAACCGAATTTTAATTTAGCACAAAAGTTCATCGAACAGAATTTTAAGTCATTCGATGTTTTATAAATTTCAGTATTTACAATCTTTAATTACCAGAATTTTTGCTTGTACAAATTGTTATTTGATGGAAATTGTTAAAACGCCAAATTGTCCGAAATTGCAAATTGTCGAACAAACAATAGACAAAAAGATTTCGACGCAATTTTAAACATTTATCAATTACCAATTTTATAAATAATAATTCCTACAGCTAAAAAATTGGTTCAAATAATGATTCGGTGAATTGGCATTCATGATACTAAAAATTCGAATCACTTTTAGAATGCAGAATTAAATTCTGTTGAATAATAATTTTTCTAAATTAAAATTCAATTAAATTAGAATTCTTAAATAAAAAGTTTGATAAAGAAAAATTCTGTGAAATGAAAAATTTTGCCAAAATAAAAATTCGGTACCTAAAAATTTCATTAAGTAAAAATTCGTTAAATAAAATTCCATTAAATGTTAATTTGAAAAATAAAAATTCGTCAAAAAAATTATGATTTTGATATTATTTAAAATAAAAATTCTAATTATTTTTTTATGGAAAAAACATGCGCCCTATTTGAACCTTCAGAATTTAAAAAAAAATTAGCAATAAAATTTTTTTAATGAAAAATAAAAAAAGTGCATTAATATTTAATAAATTATTAATTTTTTTTTGAATACAAAAATTTATAATCAAATTTAAAGTTAAAAAAGTAGTAAAAAATTTTTTTCATTCATTTTTGAACGTTTAGAATTTCAGGCACATCATTTTTTTTTTTGAATTCGCGAATTGTAAAAAACTTGCGCGATGCGTCTTTTCTTAATTTAAAAAGTAGAAGAAATATGTTCTGGCATATTTTATATATAAATCCTCAAAACTTCAGTCGAGTTTTTTTTTCTTTTTTTGTATAAAAGATTTTGCGGAATTTGAGATGACACTTTTATGCAGTTTTATCGAAAGTGGATATATATATATATATATATATATAAATATTTCCTTTTTCGTATATGAATATAAAAAATTTATATAGGGCAGAGAAAAATTTTAAATATTAAAATTCAAAGTGTGTATAAGATTTAGCACAAATTACACGAATGTTAGAAAAAAATATAAAATATAGAAAAAGAAAATTGTAAAGTGAAATGAAAATAATAAATAATAAAATAACAATTAGAAAATATTTGTTTTAAAAAGTACAAAAAGAAAAGTTTTTTCATTTGAATTTACACTGTACGAACATGTGTTGTAAGACTTTGAAATGAGAATCCCAAGCGATCAGATAACTTTTTCTTTTTTTCACAGGAAATGACATTTCTTCCTTTTGAAAAAGACATTATGAAAAATAATATTGTCGACATGAATATTTTTTTTTAGTTAATAGAAAATAAAGAAAAAAGTTATTTAATTTAAAATTTATATGTTTCAATGAACTTTATTATAATTCGACTCTTTCTTTTTTGCTTATAAAAAAAAGCTATAGACTAAATAGCAATATAGCCCCTGGGGTGAATGCTTTGAAGTATCCTGTTCCCAAATTATTTACAAGCAGTGAACCGCGGGATTCGATTACACTTTATAAGCAAAAGAAATCGAAAAGTTTGTTTTACTTAAGCTAAATTTTATTGAGGTGCTAAATTATCATTTAAGAAACTGATGTTTATTTAAAAAAAAAAGAATTTTTTGTTACGTAATTTTTTTTTCTAATCATATATTTATAAATTTTAAATTTAAGAATTACTCAATTGACGTCAAGTTTATTTTATCGAATTTTGTTATTATAGTGGTTACCAATTCACTTCTGCTAATATTTACCGTTCCTTGCCAATTGGATTTAAGTAAGAACAAAAAAAAAGCATGGTACAGTGTATTTATAAAAAAAGGAAAAAAAAATTCACATTTTCATCAAATAGCATTATTATATATATTTTTTTTTATATATATGCTTTATATATTAACTCAGGTTATGTGTATATTGACATTTTCAATTTATAGAAGCAAGTCTCGCGTGTAATAAACTTTACTGAAATGCAATGATCTGGTGATATTGACGTCGATTTCCGGAGGTGATGTTTGATCGGGAATTATTCAGGTCAATTCCTCATATTTTTAACTAAAACGTGTTTGCATGTGGACATCTGGTTTATCTAACTCTTAATCAAGCCTGAAAAAGCAAATTTTAATATAATCAAAAATCATTTTTAAATTCTAAAAAAAAAAAAAATATTTTATAATTTTTGATTAACAATAATTCTGTCATTGTACATTTATATACAATGATGTATTTACCTCTTTACCTGTTGATGCGAAACGTAAGCAAAAATTGAATGACATAATACGGAAACTAGAGAAGCTTACTCATTCCCCTTATGTGTAAACCGATAAGATTTTTTTTTTTTTAAAGTCACATGTACTTTTTGAGTTCATATATAAGTACCTCTCAAGATAACGATATACTTATCTTTCAAAAATAATATTTTCTATCGAAAAGAAACTTTTTTTGAATTAAATTATTACTGCATCAGAAATTTTTTATGTGAACCAAATTTGAGTTAAATATTATATTTGTCTCAGCCAATTTATTTCTAAATAAAAATTTTATTTGTGATAAATAAAATTTTTAAATCATAAATAAAATTTATTTAGCACAAATAAATATTGCAACTAATAAATTTCTATTTCTGTGACAAATATTTTCTCTGAGTATAATAATTTTTTTTTTATATATAAATTGTATAAATTAATTATAAATTGTTTATTTACAATATTTTACTATAAAATTAAAAAACCTTTGTCTCGATTAATCAAAGATCGAAGTCAAATGAAAGGTATAATTAAGAAAAAAGCATCTGCAGACGACTGGGAAATGTTTTATCGAGTGGAATGCAATAATGGAACTCACAATATCCGTGAGAACCATACCTCATTGGATTTCAGGGATTACTTCTTGCATCACTCACAAAAAAAAAAATTTAATCGAAAAAAAAATATCCTCACTTATTTTGTTTTTTTTTTCCTTTATATAAAAATTTTTAAAAAATATTCACCACCCCCAAAGAAAATATATATTTGTCTCATAGGCAAATATTTATTTGTTTCAAATAAATTTTATTTGATAAAAATTTCATTTGAGTTAAATAAAAATTTTATTTACACTAAATAAAATTTTATTTGTGCTAAATAATTTTTTTTTTTTTCGTTTAAAATTAAAACAAATTAAATTCTGAGACAAATTTTTATTTGCTTCAATGTCAATAAAATATTTCTCTGGATGCATATAGTTTGAAATTTATAATTTGAAAAATTACTGCTTTCTTTCTTTTCATTTTTTTTATGTCGTATATTGAATTTTTCAATTCTGCAATATTGTATTGAACACAATTTTTTTTTTTTTTATAATCTTGAACGAAAAATGTTGGAACAAATTTATCCCTATTAAAAATGATTGAACTCTTTTAAGCAAATTTCTCACACACACACATTATAATATACGTGACTCTATTCATAAACAATTCGGTCATCTTAAAAAATAAAATACAAACGGAAGCAAAGTAATGATGAGGAAAAAACATCGCTTGGGATTTAATTAAATTCCTAGAATCGCGCTATATAGTAACAAGAGAGCTTGCGAGTCATTAAGTGCAAGAACTTTAAGGATGATTATTCAGCATTACGTCTATCGATGTCTCAAAGATCTTCCGAAAGGAAGAACACTTGCGCAATTATTTACAATAACAAAATAGTTCCTTTTTTTATGAGTAAAAGAAGAAAAAACGTAACTTTTATTATATAAATTAATTATTTAATTTTTCTTTTGTTACAGGTAAAGTTTTTTTGTAGATGTAGACCAAAATAATTTTTGGAGCTGAATAAGGGAAAATATTCAACAGAAAATTACATCTTGGGTAAGTAACAAATTTTTTTTTTTTTTTATCAATAGAAGAGAAAAAACGAAATTTTAATTATAAATTAAATTATTATTAAATTAATTTTTCTTCTGCTACAGGTAAAGTTTTTTGTGAATTTTTTGAAAGAAATACTGAGATGATTGCGCTCGACCAACATAATTTTTGGAGCTGAATAAGGGAAAATATTCACCAGAAAATTACATCTTGGGTAAGTTTCAAATTCTTTTTTTTTATCAATAGAAGAGAAAAAACGAAATTTTAATTATAAACGATTTTTTTTATAAATTAATTATTATTAATTTAATTTTTCTTTTATGTTTCAGGTTAGGTTTTTTTTTGTGGATTTTTTAAAGAAATACTGAGATTATTGCGCTCGACAAAAATAATCCAACATTTTTGGAGCTGAATGAGGGAAAAAATATTCACCAGAAAATGACATCTTGGTAAATTCAAAATTCTTTTTTTTTATCAATACAAAAAAAACAAATTTTTATTATAAATTAAATTATTATTAAATCAATTATTTTTTTATGTTTCAGATAAAGTTTTTCGTGAATTTTTTTTAAAAGAAATACTGAGACGATTGCGCTCGACAAAAATAAATTTTGGAGCTGAATGAGAGAAAATATTCATCAGAAAATGATAACTTGGGTAAATTTCAAATTCTTTATTTTTTAATGATTAAAAGAAAAAAAAAACGAAATTTTAATTATAAATTAAATTATTATTAAATTAATTTTTCTCCTATGTTTCAGGTAAAGTTATTCGTGAATTTTTTTTAAAGAAATACTGAGGTGATTGCGCTTGACAAGAATAATTCAACATTTTGGTGCTGAGGGAAAATAATGACATCTTGGGTAAGTACCTAAAACAATTAATATTTATTTTCATGATGATTTCTCGAAAAAGGGACAAAAAATATCAAAAATGTTCCCGAAAGTTTAATTAATTATCTTATATTAAAAAAAAGTATTTCACGTCCTACTATTTGATAAATTAGAAAATTAATTCTATTAATCTTTTTATTGGATTAATATGGAAAAATAATGAATGTACTATAATTGCATATATAATTTAAATATATATGCATTATAATGTACAGTAGAGAAAGAATTAACTCTTCAAAGCCGTCAGATTTTAACAGGTGCGCTTAAAATAATGACATTGTAATAGTCACAATTAATCTTCACTCGGATATAACTTGGAGTGCGCTTAATTATAGACCATCATCTCGTGTGTGATCGCGCACATGAATGGCGACCTTGCATCTTGAGAATAGCTAGTGATATATCGACAAATGTATCTGTCGGTAACATTAAATGATTTAAACCACATGTGTCAATTAAGATAGAATAAAAGTCATTTTAAATAACCCTTTTAGATTTCATGCGTGATTTTTCATTATACACTAATACACATGTGACGTATCCTTGAACTGGATCGACTAAACTATTCTTCATACCTCACTTGATACACACGCATTAAATGTCCGGAAATAAAATAATTGCGCTTATGGCAAAATAGATTATAAATAATAAAATATACATCACAAAAACATCAGAAAGTTAAATGTTTGATTAATTAAACGTTTTTTTTTTAAGAACTATATGTCAACAATATTCTTACGAAAGTGAACTTTGATTTATTATGTTTTAATCAATTATTTATTACAATAGTGTGTGTGTTTCTGTCGCACAAACAACAATTTTTTAACTTCGAAGTTATTTTTTTTTTTTTAAATTAATTATTACTAATTTTTTTCTATTTTATTTTTTTATATTTTATTTAAAGAAATAATTATTATATTGACAATAATTAGAAATATGAGATATACTATATATTTGAGAAAAAAGTACTACTATTATTTTCTTTTACATCGAGCGAAATGAGATACTTATATAGAATTTAATTATGCACAATTACATAAAGATACATTCCAGATAAATTCAGAATGACCGGATGTTTATGAGGTGGAAAGCAATAAAAAGGATTGGAATTTTGAATTTTTTGCTAAAAAGAAGTAGATTTGGATTCTCAGTTTATTATTTAAAAAATTGGAGAGGAATTTAAATTCTCATCGTACGAGTGAGAAATAAATGTAAATTTAAAAGAATGTTAAAAGGTCCTGTATTATATGTATATATACCTATAGTATATATATATACATATATACAGGAGGAAAAACTAGAGTCTCTAATTAGAAAAGGGTCTCTCATTAGTCTCGCATATCCTACAAACGCAAAACCACGAACTAAAATAAAGTGTGCACATTTTAAAATGAAAAGCTTCTGACGGCGAAAAAATTTATTTATATGCATTTAAATAATAAAATCGATAATAATTTAAAAATAAAATAGAAAATACATATTATATATTCTTGAGATTAAGAATTCCGTATATAAAAATATTCAACTTTTTTTTAAAAAAATTAAATTTCTCATAAACATTTTCTATATAAAAATATTATTCTTATTAAGCGATGATTCATCTCTTAAAAAAATTAATCTGGAGATTAAAAGGATTTAAATTTAATTTAAATGATCACGGTTTTTTTTTTATTTATTTATTGGGATTAAATTCAGTTAATATATAGACTTTTTTTTCTTAGTGTATTTTTCTTGAACCTCGTGTGAGTCTTATTTTTTGTAGAAATTAAAGATAAATGACTTAGTGGACGAAAATTTGTATAATACAATTTTATTAAATTTTTTAGAATTTATTATTATTATAAATAATAATGACTAACTCGAGTTATTCTTATTATTGCAAATAATAATAAATTCTAATAAATAGAATAAAATTATACTGTGCGAATATTATTTAAACATTTTTAAATTATTAAATTAAAAATTTGTTTTATTAATTAGTTTTTAGTTTATTTTATATGAAAAATTTGTAAAATACAAAAAATATTAGTTTGAAATTAAATGGCGAATAATTGTCGTGTAAATTGTTTGTTAATTAAATTTTTAATTACAAATAATAAATAATGTAAAAAATTAACTAAATTTTAAAAAATATTTTAATTGAAAATTATAAAATAAATTTAAAATTCTTTTTTAGTTTATATTATATATTGGCAAAATTTATTGAAATATTTATCATTGAAAAAAAATGTAATATAGAATAAAAAGAGATTTTCAAGCATCGCGGGTCAATTTTTATATTTATAACAGAAAATATTAGTTTGAAAATAAATGTCGAATAATTGTTAAATAAAAAAAAAAATAACTTAAAAAAAATTTACTAATCAAAATTAAAAAAATATTTTAATTGCCTTATAAAATAAAATTTTTTTAAATAAGTAAATTATTTTGTAGTTTATTTGGATTTAAAAATAATTATTTAAATATTTATTTAATCGTTAATTAAAAATAATAAATAACTTAAAAAAAAATAACTAACCAAATTTAAAGAATATTTTTAATGAAAATTATAAAATAAATTTTTAATTATTTTTCAGTTTATTTTATAAATTACAAAAAATTATTAGAAATATTTATTATTTAAAAAAAAAATATTTTCAAGTTTCGCTTTGTGAATTTTTTCCTTTTATGACATAAAACATTAGTTTAAAAGTAAATCGCGAAAGTCAAAGACAGAAACAAACAGACAAATAGAATCTCATTCCCTTTACGTTTCTCTCTCTTTTTCTCTGCGTCTGACAATTCGAACTTCACAAGTATAACGATGAGAGGTTAAGAAATGAACACTATAGTCATTAAGTTAGGTGGGTGTAAGGGGGGATATTGAGTAGGGGGTGAAGTGCATGAGGAGGGAGCTCTTACTTGGATCGTCGGAACGATGAACGAACGCAAGCGAACACGGTTTATAAATCGCGAGTATGTCCGTCTGCAATGATGCAGTGACACTTTTAAACCGGTACGTTCAAACAATCGGCAGCTATTTCTTCGTGTGACAAATATCATCAGTGACAATACATCAGAAATTCGATATTAAAAAAAAAAAATCCTTGAATAGATATTGCTCCATTATATAATTATCGCGGGTATGAACGAGAATTTTGTCAAAGAAAAAAAAATTTATAATTTTTTTTTGAAACATAAAAAAAGAAAAAATATTTTTAACACAAAAAAAGAAAAAATATTTTTAACATAAAAAAAGAAAAAAAAAATTTATAACATAAAAAAAGAAAAAATATTTTTAACGTAAAAAAATATTTTTTGAAAAATAAAGAATTTTGGAAAAAAATATTGTCTCTTTTCAAAATTTGGAAAAAATAAATTTTTGCAGGGTATTTTTAATTTATAAGGTTTAAAAAAAAGTGGTTTTGATATCTGTATATACCTGGAGAGTAAATTTGTTTAGTTTAGTTAGTAGTAACAGTTGGTTATGGTAAGACAGATATGAATATCTTGAATTTTAATTACTGTTCTCGAAGCAACAAGAAATTGTAATCATAAATAAAAAAAATTGAAATTTAATTTAGTATTTTGATAAATTTTTTAAATATTATTAAAAAAAAAGGTGGCAAAAATTACACTTTCAGTGATGAAAATGTAATATGCCAAAATTCAATTTCGATATAAGAAATTTTATACCATTGATCACTTATCAATTTCTTTAATTTTTTTACTTGAATTTATTTTTCAATATTATATTTTCTAAAATTTGTTAAAATTATAATTTTTTAAACTTCTATTTTATTTTTAACATGTTTAAAAATTTTAATAATATCAAAACCACTCCCCTAGTAAAAATTTGTCTAAAAAAAATTGTCTACAAAAATTATTATTTTCTTATTTATTTTTAAAAATATTTTTTACTTTTTATTTTAATTATAATTATTTATAAATTTTTATTATATTCTATATTTTTTATTTTATATAATAGAAAAATATCTTTTTATCATATAAAAATAAATAAATATAAAGTAATAAAAAATAGAATTAAAAATTTAAAACAATATAAAATAATATAATTTTACAATATTTGTTTTATTAAACATAATAAAATAAAATAAAAAAAATTGTATTAGTTATAGAATTTCGGTAAATCGCAACAAATGGTGATAAAAAAAAATTAAAAGGAGAGATGGCATAAGAGATTACATATGGTCCATTACGGAAGATCGCACCTCGTGCTCGTGTGTGAATCGCGTGTGAAGTCACTATTCACGTGTTACGGATGAACCTTAAAAGAATTATCGTCAGTTGTTGACTGTCATTCCATTTGGTCTACGACTTCGAGTAAGTTGACCTTATTTGACCTTTTACCTTGATCCTGTCCTCTTAACCCCCTTATAAGTGAATTTACATATTTTCCTATTGTTCTAACACTCCTATTTTATTATTAAAGGATCTTTGCAAAAGTCTTCCGCATCTTTTATGATGAATTGATCGTCTCGATCAAATATAGCACTCTGGGCGGACGTTTTAAAGCCAGTCAGAAAAAAAAAATTAAAATTTAGAAATTTTTTCATTTTCCATAAATTGAGAAAATAAATTTTTTCTTATAAATAAAGAGGGTATTTTTTTTTAGTTAAAATAGACTCGATTACAGAAAAATTACCTATATCGCATACCTCGGATTGTACTATTTTTTCTGACTTTTTTTTTCAAAAATACGACTTTTTTCGACTTATTTGAATAAGATGCGATTTTTTCGACTTTTTTTAAAATTTTTTACAAAATTTTTAAACAAAATACTTTTTTTTTTTAATATATAATGCAGATCTTCTTTATTTCGATAATTTAACAAAATTTTTAACTATAAATTTTCTCTAAATTAATTATTTTTAATAATTTTAATGAAATTTTTAATTCTTCATAAATTCAATTATCTTAAATTATTTTTCAATTAAAAATTTTATGAAATTCAACAGTTTAATAAATAAGTTAAAATAAGTTTAAATAAGTTTAAATTATAACTCTTTCGAAATTCAATTATTTTTAATGATTTTTATAATATATTCTTCGAAAATTCAATTATCTGAAAGAATTTTTCAATTAAAAAATTTTAAATTTCAATTTTTGTCTTTAATTTTTAATAAATTCTTCAACAACAAAAATTACGAAAAAATTTAAATTCAAAATCACTTGAAGTCAATTATTTTCAAAAATTTCAATTTAAAACCTTCTATAATTTAATTATTTCAAAAAATTTCAACTGTAACTCATCAAAAGTTTAATGATTTTAAATGATTTTTATAATATTTTTCAAAAATTCAATTTATTGAAAGAATTTTTCAATTAAAAAATTTTGAAATTGAATTTTTCTCTATAAATTCTAATAAATTTTTTATTATTAAAAATTTCAATTAAAAATCATTTAAAGTTTAATTAATTTCAAAAACTTCAATTTAAAACCTTCTAAATTTTAATTATTTCTAAAAATATTAACTGTAACTCTTCAAAAATTCAATTAGGTATCTGAAAGCATTTTTCAATTAAAACATTTTGAAATTCAATTTTTGTCTGTAATTTCTAATAAATTTTTTATCAACAGAAATTACCAAAAATTTCAATTAAAAATAACTTGAATTTCAATTAATTACAAAAATCTGAATTTTATATCTTGGAAAATTTAATTACTTTTAAAAAATGTCATCTAAATTTATTTGATAAATTATTTTCAATTCTGTAAAATTTAATTATTATTGTCTGAAATTATACAAATTTTTTTTAAATTTATAATTATTTCTAAAAATTTCAACTATAACTCTTCCAAAGTTCAATTATTTTTAATAATTTTAAAATGTTTAAAATATTCAATTATTTTTAGTAATTTTAATATTTCTTTAAAAATTCAATTATTTTTAATAATATTAATATTTCTTTAAAAATTCAATTATTTAAAATAACTTTCAAATAAAAACTGTAAAATTGAACTGTTAGAATTTTTTTTAAAAATTTGTCCTACTTAATTAAAATTTAAAAAATTTACGTCTTCGATTCAGAAATATTCGAATTATTCTTATTAAGGAATTAATAAAATTCATTTAATATCTAATAATATTAGTTATTTAAAATAAAATACTTATTAAATTAAATACTATTATACAATTAAATTAAATTTAATTAAAATAAAAAAATCGACTTTTTCGACTATTATTAAAAATGTAATTCGACTAAAACGACTTATTTTGAGCCTTAAAGTCGACATTATTGATAAAATAAATTAAATAGAACATTTGCTTAAAAGATGTTTTTTCTGTCAGTTCAATTTTTTTTTTAAATTTATTTTTTTTCTGATTAAAGTTATTTAAAAAAAAGTCGCATTTACTTTATTGCATTTCAAACAAATAGATTCAGAAATTTTTGACGTTAACAAATAGAAATCAATAATTGGAAAAAAAATGGAATTTTTTTTTTTCGTAATAGAAACTAAAATATTATATAACTATGTTCTAGTTCCTGTACTATAATCACCTAATCATCAATACCCTAGAAACTTTGATAAAATTAATTTATCATAATCTTATTAACTTTGTGAGAAAATAAAAAAAAAAAAAAGTTGATAATACGGTATCGCGTGTCCTATATGATTAATTATCAACTATTCCTATATATCCTGCCACCTGTAATTTACAAGTCTCATTTTCTTTGGAGCTATAATATTTAATTAATAACCTCTCTGCGTCTTATATCCGGTTTTCAATCCCCCTACTGTGATAATGATCTGACGTTTAGTCTCTTAGATTGACAATCTAATCTAATATTAACAACTTATCGCAGTTTTGTAAAGTTATACCTCAGTTATTAAGAGTGTAACTATATATAAATAAGAGATGAATTCTTCTTGACCTGTCGTTGAAAGTCAAGGATCTCTTCTTTTTTTTTTTTCTTGCTCATTTCCTTTTTATTATACATGGAGAGATACTCAATGTTGATATCACAGTATATATAGATTTTAGTGTCGAATATCGCGCGCGATACCTCATTAGCCATGAGGGTCATTACACGAATCGATGATTCGAGTAACACGCGATCATAAATTACATTGTCACAGTAATGTCCCTTGTGAAGCACTTGAACGTGCAATTGAACGATGTATGTGTCCGCAAAGGACGCATTTATTATATCTGCTTTTAGGCAAAAAAAAAAAAAAATATTCACGAAAAACACAATATTTATATGATTAATGTTTCTTTGTTTTATTTTTTAAAAAATTCAGATATTTTGACACTAAATTTAATAAAATGAATTAATTTTCAGAATGAGAATATTTTTAAAATTAATTTACATCCAGAGAAAAGATAAATTTGTCACCGAGACAAATATTTACTTGCAAATAAATATTTATTTATTTCAAATAAATTTTATTTGATTTAAATAAAAAAATTTTATTTATACCAAATAAATGGGCTGATTGGTTCTGAGACAAATATACGTTTATTTAAACTCAAATATGTAGTTCTAATAAAAAATTTCTCTGGATGTAGTAACTAATTAATTATTATTTTTTAAATTAATTAGGTTCACTGAAAAAAATGTATTTGATTCTAATAACTGATTACTTGACTATTATCATATAAATATTTATACTTGAATTCTTGAATCAAATAAAAAATACAGTGAAAAAAAATTATTTGATTGAAATATTCGGTTACTTGACTATTATTAAATAAATATTTTCTTGAACCAAATAATGCATTTTTCTGAGTGTATTACTAAAATAATAATTAATAAAATGAAATCTAATTTTTTCTTGTTGAATGGCATTTCTAAAAGAATTAACTAAAAATTAAGAATTGGAAAAAGTCCTTCTTTTGCAATATTACCCAAATAATTTTTATTTAAATTAAATAAATTATATTTGAAACAATAATTTCTATATTTAAAATCATGATTTAAATCACAATTTAAATCGAAGGATTATTTATAGATTTAAATCGTGATTTACATAAAAAAAAAACATTAAAATGTTTCTGTTTTTTTTTAAATTGTATATTAAATATATATTTTCCTCATTTAATTTTATATATTCTAAAATTCAAAATTTGTCTTTTAAATTATTTGGCGAATATTCAACTGACATTTTATTTATTTTTATTTGCCTTTTGGAAAATATATAACCTTTTAAAAACAAGACTTTTTAAAATATTTGTTTAAAAATTTTTATATTACATCAAAATTATTATAATTAGTTAAAATAAAATTTAAAAACGTATAATATACGTTTTTAAATATTTAAATTAGAAATGAAATAAAGTTGCAAAAATCGAAACATTTAAGAAAAATTTCTTTTTTTGATAATTTTAGTTGAAAATTTTTATATCAGTTCTAATATTTTCTAAAAAAAAAGGCACTACTTAGTAATTCAAACTTTTTAAAGTGTAATATTACAAAATTATTGACATTTTGGAAATCAACAATTTTGAAAAGCATAAATTGTTGGAAAATTTTAGTTTTTAAATCAAAAATGTTATTTTCTTTGATAAAAAAAAAATATGCATATTTCTTTAATGATCTTGTTATTAAATTTATCGTTTAAATATTTGTAAAGAAAATAATTTAGAAATTAATTTTTGAAAAATATGAAGTAAGTAAAAAGAAATTTGATATAAATCTTAAAAGAAAATCGGATTTAAATTAAAAATATCAGATTTTTTTTTTTTAAATATGATTTCTATCAGCCCTGCGTTTAAAATAAATACCTTTTATATTTAAATAATTATTGTTTTGATACAAATAATAATTATTTTATATAATGAATATTTATTTGCTAATAGTGTAAATAATTTCTATATTTAAAACAAATACCATTTAATTGATTCGAAAAATAATTCTTTAATACAAATAAATTTTTTCTTTTGATAACAGTCAAGTACCAGATTATTTGAATTAAAGAAATTTTTTTTCACTGTAACAATTTTCATTGACTGTGAATTAAAAAAAAAAAAAATTATTTTTGATTTTTAAAAAATTTTATTTACGCGAAAAAATGAACAGAATTTAATGAGAAAGAGAGAGAGATTTCTTTTTATCTCTATCTCATTGTTTTCATTGGAATATGAATTTATCTGAGATGAGAAATTGTTCCACATTTACATTCCTCTTACTTTTCAAGGGTAAGCAAATATTGAATATTTGGTTCACAAGAGAGATGTTGAGACTCGTTTCATATTTTTTCTCAAAGCAAAAATTTATTTTGATGGTAACATTAGGTTTTTTTTCTGCATTTCACTTTTAAGCGCAAACATTCACGCACAGAGGTGATATATATATATATATACATTTCTGTGTCA